CAATCAATCTGCTGATTACTTTCTAGAATAAGACGTAAGAAAATATTGAAAAATGTCCGTCCCAGTTATTAAGTTCAATCGTTACATGTCGTATTGTTGTGTTTAGTTTGATGGTATAAGCAGAACATCTCCATTTTAAGATGATGAAAACCGCATTTTCTGTATTTTTCCTTCTTATTTATTACTGTGATTCATTGATGATCAACACACGCTGGTCATAATTTATCAATGTCTATCTCTTTATAGATGAGTCAAGTTATCTTATTATAAGTCTGGTGACACGTCAACTTTCTGTCCACTCACTGGAAGAAATACAGATGAATCAATATAAAACACGCCAACTGCAGTTCAGTCAAAGAAGCCATGCCAAAGTGTAACTGCATTCAAAGTTTACTTCAAGTACAGAAAGTAAAATTAGTCATTATGCAGAGCGGCGTAAATCAGAATAATGTGTTGTTCATTATGCAATCCTCCGTACAGATGCAATAATGTGTTAATGCTTCAGATGGGAATCATTTTAATTACTTTAAATGTTTATAAAGTGCCGGGTGAATGTGAATTTCGCCCCGCGGATCAATAAAGTCAAACATTATCCTATATAACACATGATCATGGTTTTAAATGACCAACTTTTTCCAAAGCTGTTATACAAAGGGCTCCACTTAGAAATTCAAAAGACTTTCAGATCATTTCTGTGATAAAACGATGTGATTTTTGTACATTTGGTAATTACAATGTATGTGATTGTTGTATATTTGAACTTTTAGGGTCTTTAGGGTCTTTTTTTCTTCTTTTAAATACAAGGCAAGACAAGTTTTCTACCACACCCTAACACATGCTTTATATTTCTTTCCTGTGATTTGTATTTATGTGCGTACAAAAAAAAAACTTAAAATGTATTTCTTGATTATTTTATGTATCATCAATCTGAATGTGCAATGTAACCAGTAACTTAAAGGGGACCTATCATGCAAAATGCACTTTTTGATGTCTTTTATACATCAATATGTCCCCGGTGTGTCAGGGAACTCACGCAGCGTCAGAAAATAAAACCCTCTCTCTTTTCCTCCGTACCCAAATCTCTAAAAACGGGGGAAGAACGGAGCTGATCCAGATTTGTGTCCGATATGACGTAATATCTGAAATGTGGACCCGCGGCCCTATCAGAAACGTTGCTATCAGAAACAATGTCCGACTGCTTTGGACGTAATATGGTCGGTGTTTGCATTAGCATCGCTAACACTCAGAGCTAACCTGTACTGGAGAGCATGTGTGTGAAGAAGCAGGAAGTAAAAAGGAACTCACCTTGTGGTATAACCGGCAAGAGAGAAAGCCTTTGAGCTCCATACTGTTTCAGAGAGAATCCTTGATAATTTAGACAGCACTACTTGCAAGC